AAAAAACCCACGAAAAACACATCAACACATTCCACCTATTCCCGCCGCATTTGACTCGAGCTCTATCCGTTCAGAGGTGTTTAAAGCTATGTCTGCGTTGGGCAATCCTGCAAAATTAATACGGCTATCCAGGATAACTTTAAGTGGCACAAGGTCAGCATTTAAAGTCGGAAAGGACCTCTCGGAGCCCTTCAACACCGAAAGAGGATTCAGACAAGGTGACAGTTTGTCGTGTGATCTTTTTAACATCCTGCTGGAAAAGGTCGTACGAGACGCAAAGGTGAAAAGAAATGGCACTCTGTACACCAAACAACACATGTTACTCGCCTACGCCGCCGATGACATCGATATAATGGGTCGAACATTGCGAGCGGTAACAGCCACCTTGGATCAAATTGAGCAGGAGTCTGCCAAAGTGGGTCTTGCAGTAAACGGCGAGAAGTCCAAGCTGATGGTATCAACGCGCAAGACGTCTAGTAGACTCGGACTCGAACTGTGGAACTTGAGAACTACAGCTTCGAGGTGGTCAAAGATTTTATATACCTTGGTAACGAAAACGAATGACATCAGTTTTGAAATTCGGAGAAGGATTGTGATGGCCAACAGATGCTACTATGGTCTGAGTAAGCAACTCATAAGCAAGGCCACCTCCCGCCAGACCAAACTCACACTTTACAAAACGCTGATACTATCCGCCGTGCTGTTATAAGGATCTGAAGCATGGCTACTTACGCAAGTAGATGAGGCAGCTCTTGGAGTGTTTGAGAGAAAAAATTCTCCGAAAGATATATGGGCCGATCTGCGTTGACGGTGAATATCGCCGTCGAATGAACCATGAGTCGTACCAGCTATTCTCGGACATCGACATTGTTAGACGTATTAAGCTGCAGCGACTACGTTGACTAGGTCATGTTGTGAGAATGGATGAAGATGCCGCCCCAGCCCAGAAGGCATATAAAAGCGAACCAGCTGATGGTTCACGCAGAAGGGGAAGGCCACGAATACGATGGAAAGATCAAGTCGAAGGCAACATTGCCGATAATGGTCTATCAAATTGGAAAAACTGCGCAAAAGTTCGAAGCGCCTAGCTCGGCTTATGAAACGAAAATTCTGTCACAAGCCAGCTAAATAAGTATGCACAAAATATTCAGGCATTTGGAGCCTGCTTTATGCACTCTAATTTGTTCAAAGTATTTGTACCGACCCGCAGCAACACTCGATAAAGAGCACTGAAGCAGGTTTAAATATGAGGAACATACATAAATACAAGTACCTATACATGTAAGAACTTCACCGGTAATACGCTTACATAAGGTATAGTATCTGGAAGTGTTTTATGCGATTACCTGCCTATAGGCCCACCTCGCAGTGGCTGAGCCACAGGCGGATATGAGCCCACCAGCACCAAAGTGCTGTACCAATTGGAGAGCATGCAGAAGGCATACTCTCCCCCTTGGTGAGGGGCGAAACCACAAACCCCCCGGAAAGCTCCTCAGGTGGCCACACCAACTGTCAGGCTGGATCAACAGATCCAGGGGAACCTGACACCCGCGGTACGGAAAACCTCCGCTCAGGTTCGAAACCGGAGCCTCCCCCAGTTCGACGCACGTCCGGGCTGGTATCCAAAAACAAAATAAGAACAGCGATAACCGCAAGTGGCAAGGAAAACCTGGCCACATGCAGTGACAAATACAAAAATCACAAACAATTAACATGCTGTCCTCACGGACTGCACAAAGGGCCCAAAGGACCGCGGCATCGGACATCACAACACAAACAATGAACAAAACTGCCCTCACGGACAGCCTACACTACATCCACAGGGCGAGTGAAGCACATGAAGCGGAAACCACGAACCACCCACCATGCACAGACAAGCGCAGGCAGCACGTACACCACCTACAACCGCCGATAACCATGAGACAGCTCTTGGAGTGTTTTAGAGAAAAATTCTCCGAATGATCTATGGGCCGATCTGCGTTGACGGTGAATATCGTCGTCGAATGAACCGAATGAGTTGTACCAGCTATTCTCGGACATCGACATTGTTAGACGTATTGAGCTGCAGCGACTACGTTGGCTAGGTCATTTTGTGAGAATGAAGATGTCCCAGCCCAGATGCATATAAAAGCAAACCAGCTGATGGTTCATGCAGAAGGGGAAGGCCACGAATACGATGAAAATATCAAGTCGAAAACAACATTGCCGAAAATGGTCTTTCAAAGTGGTAAAACTGCGCAAGAGACCGACGCACATGGAAATCCTTTCTAAGCTCGGCTTATGAAACGAAAGTTCTGTTACAAGTCAGCTAAGTAAGTATGCACAAAATATTCAGGCATTTGGAGCCTGCTTTATGCTCTATAATTTGTTCAAAGTAATTGTACCGGCCCACAACAACACTCGATGAAGAGCACTGAAACATGTTTAAATAGGAGGAACATACACAAAATGCAAGTAGCTATGCATGTAAGAACTCCATCGGTAATTCGCTTACATAAGGTATAGTATCTGGAAGTATTTTATGCGATTACTTGCCGATAGGCCTACCTCGCAGTGGCTGAACAACAGGCGGATATGAGCCCACCAGCGCACCAGCACCAAAGTGCTGTACCACTTGGAGAGCATGCAGAAGGCATACTCTCCCCCTCGGTGAGGGGCGAAACCACAACCTCCGCGAAGCTCTCCAGGGGGCCACACCAACTGTCAGGCTGGATCAACAGATCCGGGGGCACCTAACACCCGCGGTACGGAAAACCTCCGCTCAGGCTCGAGACCGGAGCCTCTCCCATTTCGACGCACGTCCGGGCTGGTATCCCAAAACAAAATAAGAACAGCGATAACCGCAAGTGGCAATGAAAACCTGGCCACAGGAAGTGACAAATACACAAATCACAAACAATTAACATGCTGTCCTCACGGACTGCACAAAGGGCCCAAAGGACCGCGGCATCGGACATCACAACACAAACAAAACTGCCCTCACGGACAGCCCACACTACATCCACAGGGCGAGTGAAGCACATGAAGCGGAAACCACCCACCATGCACAGACAACCGCAGGCATCACGTACACTACCTACAACCGCCGATAACCGCACCAAGACCAGCACGCAATGCCACCCGGTGCACCTACCCACCACCACCCGGTGCAACCGACCAAACCCAACTGCAAGGGGGCTGTGGACGATGACCACCTCCACTAAGTACTGTCCTTCTCCTAAATGCTTCACGAGCAAAACTACTTAAACAACTAAAGGTCCGATCGTCTTTAAGTGCCCAACTGAAATCCCAGCCCGCCCCTCCATTCGATATACCCATACTTGCTAAATCTCTAATGTCATCATAGTACCAGCATTCCGTCTGTATATGCTTCCAGTCCTCGGTCATCCCGCACTCACATAAATCCGTCTGGGACAGGCCTCTTTTATGCAGAAACGCATTGAGAGAACCATGTCCCGTCAGTAAGAAACCAGTACTTAAGCCGAAGCGAAAGTCTGGCCGGTCCACTACGAACGTTGCGTCACGAATAAATTCGTAAGTCACCCTCCCTTTGTCACTGTTCGTCCACCTTGTCCTCCACCTATCATCAACACAATCCCGAAGGATAGTGCTGTACCGCCTACTCTCCCCATCCACCAAATCAGAAGGCCTGAGCCAATCATCCTCATCCAAGTGCAAACCACGCTTAAGCTTATACATGATAGCCCTACATCTCACTTCAAGATCAAGGGGCGCGGCGCCAAGCAGCACTTGCAACGCCTCTGTTGAAACAGTGCGGCACACTGGCAAGCACGCTAACATGACAACAATTATAGTTGTACTACCCGTATGAAGCACAAGTTCAACTACGAACGTTTTAACCGCAACAACTTTAATATGGAGTTACCGCGGCTGCTGGCACCAGACTTGCCAATAGGTCCTTGTTAAGGTATTTAAAGTGTACTCTGTATTGTTATTTTTCGTTACTACCTCCCCGAGCTGGGAGTGGGTAACTTACGCGCCTGCTGCCTTCCTTAGATGTGGTAGCCGTTTCTCAGGCTCTCTCTCCGGAATCGAACCCTGATTCCCCGTTACCCGTTGCAACCATCGCAGTCCTAGATACTACCATCAAAAGTTGATAGGGCAGACATTTGAAAGATCTGTCGTCGGTACGACAGACATTTGGAGCCTGCTTTATGCACTCTAATTTGTTCAAAGTTATTGTACTGGCCCACAACAACACTCGATGAAGAGCACCGAAGCAGGTTTAAATAGGAGAAACATACATAAATACAAGTACCTATGCATGCATGTAAGAACTCCATCGGTAATACGGTAACAGTTGTACTACCCGTATGAAGCACATGTTCAACTACGAACGTTTTAACCGCAACAACTTTAATATACGCTATTGGAGCTGGAGTTACCGCGGCTGCTGGCACCAGACTTGTCCTCCAATAGGTCCTTGTTAATGTATTTAAAGTGTACTATGTATTGTTATTTTTCGTCACTACCTTCCCGAGCTGGGAGTGGGTAATTTACGCGCCTGCTGTCTTCCTTAGATGTGGTAGCCGTTTCTCAGGCTACCTCTCCGAAATCGAACCCTGATTCCCCGTTACCCGTTGCAACCATGGCTGTCCTAGATACTACCATCAAAAATTGATAGAGCAGACATTTGAAAGATCTGTCGTCGGTACGAGATTTTGTAAAAATATTTTTTTGGCAGGTCCTCTATAGAAGTGGATTTTTTAAAAATATTTTTTCATAGAGCTACCATAGGCGGACCTGGATTTTTAAAAATAAAAAAAATAATTATTAATTTTTCATAATTTTTATTTTCAATTTTATTCCATATATAACTTATTAAATAGTAAAAATTTTACAAAAAAATAATTTTTATAAACTAAATTTTTTATCATGTCCCATATAAAAAAATCGGCAAAAATAGAGCAATTTTCCCCTTCATTTTATTTTTTTTTTAAATTGAAATTTCTTAAAAATCTAAAAAATTGTCCACCTCTTCAAAAATGTTCATCACAAAAACAACCATCTCGTGAATTTTCCTTGATCCAATCTAAGTACTTCGTAACTCGGGTATAGACACCAGGATAATCGGGACGAGCACAACCATTACCCCACGAAACAATGCCAATTTGTTCATAACGTTTATCATCGGGACGTAGGCGAACCAAAGGACCACCCGAATCACCTTGACAGCTATCACGTTCCCCCGTACCCGGATAACCGGCACACATCATATTTTTCGTAATCATTTTCGAAGTGTAATTGGTTTGGGCCACACAGCTTTCATTGTCGAGGACGGGAACCTCAACCTCTTGCAGTAGACATGAAGGCTTACCATCTTCCTTCAGGGTACCCCAACCAGTGGCTATGCCTTTTGTGCCCACAAACAATTCATTTCTTTCCTCCGGTCGTGGCAGGCAAATGGGTCGAATGAAACTCGTTATGGGTACCCGATCATTGAGACGCAGCAGAGCAATGTCATTGTCGAAATTTGAAAAACTAAATTTCTGTGTAAAGGCACGCAGCACAAAGCGAGTCTCTGGCCTCTCCTTGTCATTGCAACGATCATGTTCGCCAAATGTGACCTTGATCATGAACCACATAAAGCCCTTGACACAATGCGCGGCGGTCAGAACATAGCGATCATTGATGAGGGTGCCGCCGCAATAGAAACGATTAAAATAGCTGAGGCGTGCCATCCATGGGTATTCGCTGACTCCGGTTGTGGTGCCGCCAACAATACGCGATTCATCGTTGCGTTCACCGCATCTGTGCGTGGGGAGAAAGGAGAAGGGGAGAGAGGGAGAAAAAAAGAGAGAACAAAAATTAGTTGGTCATTAGTGTCAAGACATGCAGTCGCATTTTTTTCTATCTGTTTTCGAATATTGATGGCAGATTTTATAATTAGTTTTCTATGCAAATACAAAATGCTATATTTAAAATACAGGTAGGCCTCAGAGAATGCGTAAATGTATATTAAAAAAAAATTAAAACATAAGGGAGGGGATTTTTTAAAAATATTTTTCAAATTAATTTTTAAACCAGTAAGGAAAGAAGTTAAGTCGGACGGGACCGACTTTATGGTGCCCTTCACCACTTTGGCATATTCAACAGATGAATCCTATGTGAACCTATATATAAATCTGAACCGATTTCAATGACTCTTGCCAGAGATTAACTACAGTTCATTGTAAAAAATTGTGTGGCAATCGGACACACAAGTTCACGATTACGATAAAATCGGAAGAAAATATATATGGGAGCTATATCTAAATCTGAACCGATTTCCAGGAAACTTAGCACACATCATTCTAGACTCAAATCATTACACTATGCAAAATTTCGTGCAAATCGAAAGATATATAGGAACTTTGGTGCACCATTCACAATAAATCCGACGAAAATGTATTTGGGAGCTATATCTAAACCTTTACCGATTTTTACGAAACTTACCAATCGTCATTCTAGACACAATTCAGTATGCTATGCCAAATTTCGTGCAAATCGAAAGATATATAGGGACTTTGGTACACCATTTACCTTAAATCGGACGAAAATATATATGGGCGATATATCTAAATCTTGACCGATTTTCAGGAAACTTAACACACATCATTCTAGACTTAATTCATTACGCTATGCCAAATTTCGTGCAAATCGAAAGATATATAGGGACTTTGGTATACCATTTACCTCAAATCGGATGAAATATATATGGGAGCTATATCTAAATCTGGACCGATACTCTAGAAACTTAACACACATGATTCTAGACTTAATTCATTACGCTATCCCAAATTTCGTGCAAATCGATAGATATATAGGGACTTTGGTACACTATTTACCTAAAATCGGATGAAAATATATATGGGACCTATATCTAAATCTGAACCGATTTTCAGAAAACTTGACACACATCATTCTAGACCTAATTCATTTCGCTGTGCCAAATTTCGTGCAAATCGAAAGATATATAGGGACTTTGGTGCACCATTTACCTAAAATCGGACGAAAATATATATGAGAGCTATATCTATATCTGGACCGATTTTCTGGAAACTTAACACACATCATTCTAGACTTAATTCATTACGCTATGCCAAATTTCGTGCAAATCGAAAGATATATAGGGACTTTGGTATACCATTTACCTTAAATCGGACGAAGATATATATGGGAGCTATATCTAAATTAGGACCGATTTTCAGGAAACTTAACACACATCATTCTACACCTAATTCAGTACGCTGTGCCAAATTTCGTGCAAATCGAAAGATATATAGGGGCTTTGGTGCTCCATTTACCTTAAATCGGACGAAAATATGTATGGGAGCTATATCTAAATCTGAACCGATTTTCAAGAAACTTAGCACACATCGTTGTGGACCCAATTCAGTACCCTGTACAAAATTTCGTGCAAATCGAAGGGTATATATAGGGACTTTGGCGCACCATTTACCTTAAATCGGACAAAAATATATATGAGAGCTATATCTAAATTTGACCCGATTTTCTCGAAACTTAACACACACCATTCTAGACTCAATTCAGTACGCTATGCAAAATTTCGTGCAAATCGAATGATATATAGGGCTTTGGTCCACCAATTACATTAAATCGGACGAAAATATATATGGGTGCTATATCTAAATTAGGACCGATTTTCAGGAAACTTAACACACATCATTCTACACCTAATTCAGTACGCTGTGCCAAATTTTGTGCAAATCGAAAGATATATAGGGACTGTGGTACACCATTTACCTAAAATCGGACGAAAATATATATGGGAGCTATATCTAAATCTGTACAGATTTTCAGGAAACTTAGCATAGATCATTCTAGGCTTAACTGAGTACGTTATGCCAAATTTCGTGCAAATCGAAGGATATATAGGGACATTGGTGCACTAATTACCTCAAATCGGACGAAACTATATATGGGAGCTATAGCGAAATCTGAACCGATTTTCCCGAAACTTAGCACACATCATTCTAGACTCAAATCAGTACGCTATGCCAAATTTCGTGTGAATCGAAGGATATATAGGGACTTTGGTGCACAATTTTCCTAAAATCGGACGAAAATATATATATGGAAGCTATATCGAAATCTGGACAGATTTTCAGGAAACTTAGCACAGATCATTCTAGGCTTAATTGAGTACGCTGTGCCAAATTTCGTGCAAATCGAAAGATATATAGGGACTTTGGTGCACCATTTACATTAAATCGGACGAAAATATATATGGGAGCTATTTCTAAATCTGAACCGATTTTCTCGAAACTTAGCACACATCTTTGTGGACCCAATTCAGTACAAAATTTCGTGCAAATCGAAAGATATATAGGCACTTTGGTGGACCTTAAATCGGACGAAAATATATATATGGGGGCTATATCTAAATATGAACCGAGTTTTCCTAATTTCGTTCGTCCTTGGGCCAAATAAGTGACCTATGCCAAGTTTCATACAAAGCGAATTATAAATGCGACCTGTACTTGTTTACAATTTAACATCTACAGACGTACAAATTAAAAAAATAAGGGCGTGGATTTTCTAAAAATATTTTTATGGAGCTGCAATAGGCGTGGATTTTTTAAAACAATTTTTTTAAAAAATCTATGACGGGCGTATATCTTAAAAAATAATTTAAAAAAATCTAAATAGTTTTTAAAGAATCTACTTCTAGCGTAGATCCTGTTTTGATAATTTTTAAAAAATCCACGCCTTTGTGGATCCTTGAAAATTATTTTTTTTTTTTGATTCCCCATAGCTTCTAATTAATCATAATATTTACATAACCCAAGTTATGTTTTACTTTCTCCACCATTTCTCCGGTATTTTTGTTTAATTTTTTGCCAAATCACATTAAATAATTTCCCTCAACAAAACAAAATAAAAACATAATATTTTAATTAGCTGTCAAAAAATTTGTTTAGCAATTAGACCCAATTATTCAATAATACACTCTCGGGCTTCTGAGTATGCATGTTTGTGTGTATGTGCTTAATAATAACAACCATATTTTGTATTTGTGGTTTATTCCATTAACTGTGGTCATCTGTGACGCTAACCTTTGTTGAGGTTTGGCTTTTAGGTTTTTTGTTTTCGCAGTGAAAATATTAAGAGGCAATTTAAATATATAATTTTTTGCCAAAAAATAAAAGTCATCAACGAAACCCCTTTTTTTTGTTGTTAAGACACGCGACAAAAAAATATATATTCACATTAAGTGTTTATATGTTTGTACACATAAATATAAACATTTTATAGGGTGTTTAGGGATTATAAGATTGGAAAGATTAAATTTCAAATGACTACTATTATATTTCCAAAATATAGTCCCATATTAATATCTGAATATAAAATGCTTCAGTTTTTTTAACACTTCGCCTAAAAGTATGCTATACATTTGTGCATTGTCATTGTGTGCTAAAGCTAAGGAATAAAATCCAAACATCAATAAGCGTGGATTTTGTAAAGGAATATTTTCGTATGCCGCTACGGTTAGTGGATTTTTGAAAAAATATTTTATTCAGGGACCAATCTAACATCAGATTTTGAGGAGTTACAATTACCAATATTTTAAAAATAGTTCTTTCTAAATAAATATTTTGTCCTAGAAGCCAATTCAGTGAATTAAAAAAATGATGGAGTTATAAGCCTATTTTAAAATAGGTGTAGTTTTTTTAGTAATATTTCTTCGGAAGTATGCGTCTTCAATAGTTTTTTTTATAAGAGGGATTTTGGGATTTTTCAATAATATTACTTTTTCAATGAGCCAGAAACGAAAAAAATTTTCAAAGAACTAGAGGTGTGAATTTTTTTAAACGAAACATTTCTCAATGACCCTTTTACAATAAGACCTCTACGATGTTATCGATCATAGCCAAAAATCGTAAGAGAATGTAGCAGAATGTATCGGAGCTTATTTTGAAGAATCTTCTGTTCAATAGCAGAACTCTCAATGGTATTCTGTGCGGTATTACGGGTCCACTGATGGCTTATATACATATATAAAAGTTGCAGATGTCTTTTAAAGGCTTCTAAGAGAAGTTCGGAAAGGTCATAACATAAAACCTTAGAGGTCATACAAATTTTAACACAATATATCAATGGATCTGCATATTACGAAATATTCAGACCTCTTCTGTTCACAGTACAATCAATCCATGACCGCTCTACTGTAGCAAAACAGGTCTCAGAACAGGTTGCAGATGTTCTGATATCATCTGTTCACCGTAAAAGGTATCAGAGATCTACCATTAGTAGTAGAAGTTCGTAAATGACTCCTGCAGAATAGGTTATGTCCCTAGAGGTCATGTGCTTAATAGAAAATATTTGATAAGTTTTCCGTACAATTGCAGAGAACTTCTGTGCCGTAGGATATCCTTCGATGACTTATATACATAAACCAAGATTGAAAAACACTGTAAGGTCTTCTGTATAGTAGAGTAAGGTTTTAGGGGTTTTTCTACAGTTATATAGTACAAATCCTACGAAAATTTTGTATAATACCAAAATTATGCAGAGATCATTTGTTCACTGTACCAAGTAACAGAGGTTTTTCCGTTTTTGGAAAAATAACAGTAGACAAATATTACTGGTCCAACGCAGAGAATTTCAGAGTCGTATCCTCTGTCGTGTAGTAGCAAAGGTATTAGACGCCTTCGGCTTGAAGTGGACAACCTTAGAAATCTTCCGTAAAGTTAAAAATGATCTAAGAAATCTTCTGTTGGGTTTCGAAAGGCCTTAGACCGGTACAG